TCGAGAGACTGTATGCTACTTCTTAGTGTACGAGGAAATGATGTTGTTGCCAAGAAAAGTGCAATAACTAGTTGTGGAACGCTGAGTGAGAAGACATCCAACCCAACCCGTATCTGAAAATGCAATTAAAGACAAAGATGTCTTAACACAAAGTGAGGAAAAAAATTAATGGTACCTAAATTTCACTTAGTGAAGGATGTGATGAACATGTTTCACGGTTGGAAACTGTAGGAATTGGGAGACATAGTTCATGCTGTAAGAAAAATCAGGACGAGTTAGAGTTAGATATTGTAATGTTCTAATAATACTTGGAATTGTTTGAGATAATCAAAATAAAGAGAGTAGTGAACATTAAACTTAGTCTCCAGTGGCATAGGCATGGGTTTGTAATCAAGCATGGTAGAAAAGTCAAGAATGTTCAGGGAATAATGTGTCTGAGGGAGCAGCAAACCATCTTGAATAGATGTAACTTCAATTCCAAGAAAATGATGTAATGGACCTAGGTCTTTCATAGAAATATTCATGACACAACAGATTAATAAATGAATGAATAAGCTGAGATGATGAGCGAGTAAGCAGCATGCTGTCAACATAGACTAAAAGAGCAAGGATGCCTTGTATGAAATGAAAATCAAACAAAGGAGGATCCGTAAACTTCAGACAAAACCATAAATGAGTAAAAGTTGACAAAGACGACCAAACCAAGCACATTTGACTTGTTTTAAACAATAGAGAGTTTATTTAAGTTTACACACAAGGTTCAACCATACCTTGGGGTTTCTCCATGTATACATTGTAGGTAATATGGCCATGTAAAAGAGCATTTTAACATCTAATTGCTGATTGATGAATAAGAGCCATAGAAATGGTACCGGGCTTAATAACTGGAGAAAAGGTTTTTGTGTAATCAAGACAATAAACTTAATGGTCGCCTTCAGCAAGTAATCAGGTTTTTAATCTACCCAATAAACCATGAGGTTCGATTTTGGCTTTAAACACCCACTTGGAACCTACAACATGCATGTTAGGTGCACGCTAAACCAACATCAAGATTTAGTTTGGATGCACAGCAGCAAGCTTGTCCAACATGGCCATTGTCCAACTAGGATGGAGAAGAGCTGTTTCACAGTTCGTGGTTCACGAGGAATGAATTCAAGCAGAGTGACTAGAAGAGCATGCTTGGGATTTGGTTTCACGATTCTAAGTTGACGGCGAGTGAGCATAGAGTGCTGAGGTTGGATAGCAGAGGAGGACCTCGTATTGGATGATTGAGAAAGAGAAGAGGTGGGAAATAGAATGAGAAACTGAAGATTCTGGTGTGGAAAGTGGAGGTGAATCAGGTGGGATAACAAAGAAGATGAAGGTTCAGAATTTTGAGGTATCGGAACACATGGAAAAGGAACCGAGATAGAATTTGACATAGATTGAGTCACGCTACCTGCATGCCAATATGAGGAAATGTTAGACGATGATAACTATGAATAAAAATATTGGACACATGCGGCGAAAGAGAAGACTGACGAACTTTCTTAAAGGGAAAGATAGTTCATCAAAGACAACTTGATGAGAAATGAAACTTTTATGATGAGTTAGATAATAACATTTATAACCCTTATATTGATCACTATAGCCTACAAAGACACAGAGTGGATTTTGGATCAAACTTATTTGCTTTGGTATCCCAAGTATAAGGAAGACATTTGGAATCGAACGTAAAGTGGAATAATCGGGATGTCTTTTATGCAATTTGAAAACCAGTGGCAAATTGAAGAGCACAAGATGGAAGCAGATTGAGCAAGTATACTGCCGTAGAAAAAGCTTCATCCATAGAGACAAAGGCACATGACTTTGAAACAACATTGCCATCCAAAGTTCATGGATAATTCGATGCCTTCATTCAACAACACCGGTTTCCTCCGAAGTGTAAGGACATGAACTTTGATGCACAATTCCTGTAGATGAAAGATGAGACGACGAGGCAGAATTAACAAACTCTCTGCCACCATTAGAGTGAAACATTTTAATATGTTTATTAAGTTGTCTAAGAACATAACTTTCAAAATCTAAATTAGCAGAAAAAGGAAATCAAGTTTCTGATGCCACGGAATCAATCATGTATACTTAGAAAAGTCAATAACAAAATAAACATAGGATCGAAATTGGCTAATAGATAAGACTGGGGAAGGCCCTCAAAAATCACAATGAATTTTATCAAAACAAGCATTAGAAACATGTTGAGATCAATCAAAAGGAATAATAAGTTTTTGTAACTGACATCTATCACATAAATGACTCATCCGCAATGAACCAGTGACTATGAACAAGCCTTTATTTTGTAATCGGTGAAGAGCTGAATCTTGTGGGTGCCCTAATCTTTGATGCCAAAGATCCACACTGCAAGCCTTAAAGCAATAGGAAAAGTATTCTCCTAGATCATTTGAATTGTATACAACACCCTTCTTTTGCCCATGCATTACCATTTTGCTTGTTGTCCAATCCTTAATATAAAAACCCACATTAGAAAGTTCACAATTAACAGGAAGCTGAGAGGTTACTTTACTAATAGAAAACAAATTCTTCTTTAAGTCAGGGACAATTAAAACATTGGATAGTGGCAACACATCACTTAATTATCTAAAAAGTCACATAAATTGGGCCTCTTTACTTACTTAATACCTAAAGTTCAAAAACGTCTCATGTGCCCCCTCCCCCCAAAATTTAATTCTTGTCTTTTCCACTTTTCTGTCCTAACACCGTCTGAATTGTAACAGTCAACAGTTAAAATGTTGACTTGTCAACATGGCAACTTTATCTTTTTATTCAAAATAATTAAAAAACAACAATAACATTTTCTTCTTCTTTTTATTTTTCTTGATATAAATCATAATTTTTTTCCAAATTAAAAGCCGCCATAAAGTATTTTTCTAGTCCGTCTTCTCTCCTTCCATTCTCCACCTTGTTGCCCCGCTCCTTTTCACCTCTCTTCTTCCTTTCCTTCTTCATAATCCTCAATACCAACATCACCACTGCACCTGTTTTCTTTCACAAACTACAAATAACACAACACTACTTCATCAATCAAAACCCCAAGAGAACACCCCCACCACTTCACCAATCATAGTCTAGATCTCGAAGCTTCTTATTTGTGTTCTTCTGACAGATCTAAGAAATCGCTTCTTCATGTTCTCAAAGTCCAGATTTCGTCATTGACGATGCTTGGATACGCACCGCCGGTTTAATGGTAGAACTCCGGCTAGGGTTTCCTGCAAAATAGGGCCTCGGGGTCTCCCAAGGGTAGACACTCCGATGCTTAAGTCAGTAAAAGGGTTGCTGGAAAATTTAGGTATATAGTTTGTTAAGCTATAGATTGCGTCCCTGTACCGTCGTATGAGCTACCCTATTTATAGGTATGAAATTACCTGGGCAATTCCCGAATTCAACTAGGTTTCAGGAATCTCCACCGCCCTAAGAGTCCCGGTTGGACTCTTTCTACAGTTGGTGGGCCGGTCCAGTCTCGGTGATGGATATGGACTCGTCAAGTGCCCTTGCCAAGTGTTAGTGATGTAAAGGCAAACAACGCTTGGTACAAAATAAGTATTACCTGAGACATACCCGAGAGTGGACAGACTACCCTCGTTCGGCTAATTGTCAAGCCACATGCCAAAGGAGCTCGATGCTAACGCATGACCCTCGATCTCGGAGGATCGAGAGGAACTGGCGGCTCAGGTCTTGACCCGGGAAGACGACCCGCTTCCCAATCCCGCCCAAATTTTAAACTACTTCCTTGAAACTTGCAATAACTGTCATATCGTGGTCCATAATTAGAGAAACATGGGAGAATCAATTTTGTTTTTAAGGAGAAAGTTTCTACCGCTCCTTTACACTTAATCATTTTCCCTCTTTGCAAATAACTCGAAGTTCTCTCCTCTGCTAAAGCATTCCAGTCCTTAAAGAGTTCTTCTTTACCAGAGCATCCTAACCCCCTTTCCCAATCGGAATTTTCAAGCTTTCGCCTGAGACACTGCCCCAGCGACGCTGTTCCCAGGGGAGTTACTAGTTAGAGTTTCTGAATAACGCTGGGGAGTTATAATTCAAAAGGCGAGTGGTCACGTCCTCCTTCCATAGTAAGTTTCCAGATCTGAATCTTCGATTTGTTCCAAGTTTTTGTTCTTTCCTGTTGTAGCCAGAGTAGATTCTTGCCAGAATTATGGTTAGAGATTCGGAAGAGAAAACTGTTTTGGACTTTGTATCCACCATAGATTCGGTTAATAAGGTAGAGAACCTTAGATCCAAATATGACCTCCCCTCCGCCTTAGAGGCGAGAGCCCCATTAGGAAACGAGAGAGCTAACTCTCCTCTAGGGGGAAGAATTATCGTGTATGACCGATTCATGCATCTAGGGCTTAGATTTCCCCTCTACCCCCTGTTTGAGGAGATTGTGCAACACTATAGGACTCCTCTCGCTCGTTTTACCCCAAATTTAATTACCTTTGTACTTGGGTCTGCGAGAATATGCCAACATGTAAAAGTAATACCTCGATTAGTATTGTGGAGGTATATCTTCCAAGTAGTGGTAGCCTCGACTTCTTTCTAGGACTGGTATATCTTGAAAAGACGCCTTAGAGCTGGCGTGAAGAATAGATGGCCGAGGCGTATGGTGGCTCTCCGGAATGGAAACCGGACTTTTTGTTTGTAAAGGCGCCCTCGAGTTATTGCTTGCCATGGAATCTCCGAGAGTAAGAGGGTCTCGGGGCCATAAAGGATGAATGGACCCAAGAGGATGAAGAGTGCGTTGAGGGGCTCCAGGCAGATGTGGAGAAAATTCTGAAATATTCTAAGGTCATTAAATGGAACGACGTACAATATTATGTGCCTCCTGTATATGCAAGGGAAAGTGATACGGTCAACGTCGAGGGAGCAAGCAGAATTCCTCTCAAAATCTTTGTTGAAGAAGATCAAGGTACTAATCATTTTCTTTTTTTCTTCTTTGTTGTTAGGTCATGTCGTCGAGCAATGCTGGGTCTCAATTGTTTGGTGACGAAGATCCTTTTGTCATTGTGAATTCAGATGAGGACGTCACTGTTACTGCTGGCCCTCAGAAGAAAAAGAAGAAGAGGATCGTGAAGGTGGGCGATAGGGCGAAATCCAAGAAAGCTAAGACGGATGCGTCCTCGAAGGAAACCACACAGCCGGGTATTGAGACGGTGCCCCTTGCCACTGAGTCTGTTCAGAAACCTGTGCCGGAAGCAGGGCCAAGCATAGTTCCCCCCGTGGCGGAGAAAGGGAAGGGCCCCCTCGAGGGAGAGGCAATAGTCTTGCCCCCTCAGCTGTTCGAGGGAGGCCCGTCTGTGGTAGTTCACACCTTTAGCAACCCATCGTCAATCGAGTGTCCTATTCTCGAGGAATTCGCTGCTCAGCTGAATGAAGTCGACAGCCTGAGACTGGTAAGTCATTTTCCAGATTACGTTGTAAATGCATATGTATATCAATGTGTTCCTAATATGCTATGTTGGTTCAGATAAGTGCGGCCTTGATGGCCTACCTAGTGCAGTTAAGGAAGCTTCGAGATGACCTGGCTACAGTCGGGCGAAAAGGGACGAGGCGTTATTCGAGGTGGTTACCCTCGAGGAGAAAGCTTGCCAAGTTCAGGCTAAGGAGGCTGAAATTGTCGAGGTGCAGGGTAAATATGATGAGCTTGACGAGAAGATGAAGTCGTTTGGTAGCCTGAACATTTCCAAGGAGGAACTACATCAGTGGTGCACCGTCTTCATGAATAAAATGATGTCTATAGGAGGGATGGCTGTAACCCTCGAGGAGATGAACTTGGTTGCCACCAAGTGCGGAGCGCACCGAGTTGGCATGGAAGGGTTGAAGAGGCTCGACCAGGAGAGGCCGATTAAGGCAAAATGGTTCAAGCAGCTCCTAATGAAGGACCCGAAGAAAACCATGGACGAAGCCATGGTAAAGGTCTTGACAAAGTTGAGCCTCGAGCAGCTTCCTCTGTGGGGAGCTTTAACTGGTGCCATGGCGAAGATGAGTTGCCCTGTGGAGATTGCCTCACTCCCTGGCAACGTTCCTGCTATCCTGGCTTAGGGTCCAAGTGAGGAAGACCCTATACCCGAGGTACCCGACAAATACATGGGCATCGAGCTCGAGGACACTGATGAAGCCACCGAGGAGGGCGTTGCTGACACCAGCCATTCTGGTGTCCAGAGAACTGTCGAGGACGCCTCCCAAGACCCTTCTAAGGACCCTTCCAAGGATCCTCCACAAGGCAGTGATGCTGTATGAATCCTGCCCCTTGTAATAGCTGCTAGGCCATTTAAACTAATCCTTTTCTTTGTAATGGACTAATTTCTTTGTTTCATCTTTTTACGACTTTATGCAAGCATCTTTCTCCCTTCTATTTCTTTGTCCTTTGTTTTCTTTCTCTTTGGTTTGATGTAAGTGTCTTATACTCCTCTGGTGAAGCAAGAAAGTTGGACCATTCACCGTGTTCACCTCATGGTGCTGTCGGAGGAGCAATCGAGGGAGTTCTCATTATATTCCATGATTAGTGGGATTCTGAGAAGTCGTGTTGATGTGCACAGTCTCGAGACGGTGGCACACTTAGAGAATGACCTGCTCGATGCAATGAGGACGCACAATGTAAAGGTTAACCAGCATTTGATAAACGAGATTAAAGGACTCCGTGAGGAGATGCAGCGTCGAGATGTTCAAAGCCTGAAAGACCACAGTGATTCTTTGACTTTCGAGGCCGAGATTCATGATGAGCTGGTTACCTTGGAGAAAGAGAATGCTCGGCTTAGGGCAAGACAATAGATTACTGTGTCTCCCTGGTTTCTCGAGAAGCACCAACTGTTAGCCGGAGTCCAGCACATGATTATGGTCAGGACTCACCATTTTATCGCAGTCATGGATATACTGAAAGAGAGATCTCGTGAGATCGAGTTTCTTACAGACTATATTGCCTAACTGCAAAATCTACTGCTGGATAACAACATTGACTTCGAGGTTTTCGAGCGTCCGGAGGAAACCGTGGATCCTCAAACTTGGAGTTCTCGAGAAGAGCTGTTGATGAGGGTGTAGGCTCAAGACACAGAGATCGTGGACCTTAAGGATAAATTGAATCAATGTGTGAATCTCCTTAGCCTACATGGGTATAAGGGGATTATTCATCCCTCCCCCGACAATCCTGTCAGGGAGGTCCTTGTAATAGTGTAGGAGAATGTATGTACTTTCTGCGAGTTCGCAAAGTAGTGTGGAATGAATTATTGTTTATTTTACTCGAGTATTGATTTATAAAGCGCTTTTTAGGCCGGATGTAAAGTACATGGCTCTATCATAGGAATTGGGTTCGAATTCCTTGATCTGACATTGCGTTTAGCAGTGTGTGTGAGGGAAATTCCTCGAGTTTGTGTCCGAATGTTGAGTACACGGCTCTTGAATAAGGATGGCCCTAAAGAGGGAGTCCATCTCGATGACTAGTCATGAATGCATTGCTTGTTAATGAAAAGAATATGTCATGTCTTTTATTGAATAATTTCCCGAGGACCCGGGTTAGCATTACATATGAAAGTATAAAATTGACTGGGTAAATAAAGCAAATAAAACACATAATAGGCAAATAGTGGACAAATACTCAAACATAGAACCTGCAAAGATTCTGAATGTTCCACCATCGAGGAAGAACAGCTCCGCTATCATCCATGGTCTGTAGGCGGTAGCTGCCTGCTGGGGAAGCCTGGATAACCTCATAAGGCCCTTCCCAATTTGCAGTGAGTTTTCTAGGAGTTTCTGCTTGAATGGCCTCGTTTTTTCTTAGTACGAGGTCGCCCACAGCGAGATCCGTGGCTTTCACCTTCTTGTTGTAATGTCTGCATAGAATCTCTTTATACTTTGCTTCTCGGATTCTGACGGCGTCTCGACATTCCTCGAGCAGGTCAAGGTTTAGCTGAATGTCATCATCATTGGTACTTTCGATGAAGTTTATGGTTTGAGGACTCGACAAGCCTATTTCGACTGGGAGGACGACATCCATGCCGTATATGGTGTCTCGTCGGTCGAGGAGTGGGCAGTTGTACGGTATGACCACAGGACGTGGAGAAGCTCGTCGGTCCATGCCCCCTTGGCGTCATACAATCTGGTCTTGATCCCATGCATTATTGTTCTGTTGATGGATTCGGCTTGCCCATTAGCTTGGGGATGAGCTACGCTTGAGAACCGGTGCTCGATCTGCATTTCATCGCACCATGACTTGAACGTATTGCTCTCGAATTGGGTCCCATTGTCGGAGGTGATAACCCTCGGGATTCCAAAACGGCATACTATGTTCTGCCAGAAAAAATTCAAGACTTTCCTCCCTGTGATCGAGGCCAGGAGTTTGGCTTCTACCCACTTAGTGAAGTAATCTACTGCTACAATGACCCATCTTACTCCTCCTACCCACTCCGGATGAAAGGGGCCGATGATGTCAGTGCCCCATTGGTAGAATGGCCAAGGGCTTTGGATGGTAACCATCTCGTGCTGTGGCTGTCGGGTGATGGGAGAGAAACGTTGACACTTCTCACATTTCTGTACCCACTGGTAGGCGTCTTTGAAAACTGTCGGCCAGAAATATCCTGCTCGCAAGACCTTCTTGGCGAGTGCTTTTGCTCCCATATGAGCTCCACACGATCCCTCATGTATTTCTTCGAGTACGTAGGTTGTCTGCTTTGGGCCAATACATCTTAGTATGGGTAGCAGGTATCCATGCTTGTATAGGATGCCGTCTCGCAATGTGTATTTGACCGCCTTTAATCGGAGGGTTCTGGCTTCTGCTTTTCCGCTTGGCAACGTTCCATCTGTAAGGTATTGGATAAACGGGGTCATCCAAGTGTTATTGTCCTCGACTATGGCCGTTACGAGGGCATCCTGGATGCTAGGATTGGGAAAAATCTTGACCCATACTTTGTGGCTAAGGTATGCAAAATTCGAGGAGGCTAGCTTGCTGAGGGCGTCGGCTCTTTTATTTTTTGCGCAGACTATGTGGCACACGGTGCATTCTTTGAACTTGTCCTTGATGTCGAGAACTTTCTCGAGGTAGCGCTTGAGTTGCTCGTCGTTTGCTGTGTATTCGCCCAATATTTATTTCACCACTACTTGAGAATCACTAAAAACTTGGATTTTGCGGACTCCGAGCTTTAGTGCCATGTTCAGTCCTACTATCACTGCCTCGTACTCTGCTACATTGTTGGGTGACTGGGAAACCGAACCTTAGTGCGTATGTATATTCTGCGTCATATTCCCTCATGCTCTCGATGTTGAGATCAGCTGGATGTTTGGATAATATGATGCCGGCTCCTCCCCTTTCATCGCAACGAGAGCCCTCGACGTATAGTGACCAGGCTCGAGGGTTGATGCTGACGCGAGTAGTGGGGTCATCTTTAGGCTCTGTCGTTTCCTTTACCTCGATAGCTCGAGGCGTTTCTACTAGGAAATCTGCAAAGGCTTGTCCTTTGATGCCTGATTGAGGCTTGTATTCAATGTGGTGCTCGCCCAATTCGACTGCCCATTTCATCATCCTGCCGGATGCTTCTGGCTTGAGTAGGACTTGCTGAATTGGTTGTTCCGTTAAAACCATGATGGGGTGTGCTTGAAAGTATGGGCGTAGACGTCGGGCGGCTAAGACTAGGCTGAGGATAAGCCTTTCCATGGGCGTATAACGGGTTTTCGCTCCTTGCAAGACTTTACTAACAAAATAGACGGGGACTTCTCTGCCATCTTTGCGCTTCATGAGCATGGCCGAGATGGCTTTCTCTCGAGCCGCCAGGTAAATGTATAGTGTTTCTCCTGGCTCAGGTTTGGCTAGTGTGGGCAACTGCTTGAGGTGCTCCTTCAGGTCTTGGAAGGCTTTCTCGCATTCTGCATTCCACTCGAATTTTCTGCCCTTGCGGAGGGTATGGAAAAATGGAAGGCTTCTCTCCGCGGCTCGAGACAGAAACCTGTTCAAGGCTGCCAAGGAGCCTATGAGTTTTTGAACTTCTTTGACGGTTTTTTGAGCTTCCATGGCTAAGATGGCCTTGATTTTAGCTGGATCAGCATTTATTCCATCCTTGGAGACTTGGTATCCTAGGAATTTTCCAGACCCTATGCAGAAGGTGTATTTTTTTGGATTCAGCTTCATGTTAATTTTGCGTAATATTGTGAAAATCTCCCGCATATCTGCGGCCACTTGTTTATCCTTATTGGTCTTTATCACCATGTCGTCCAAGTGAATCTCGATGTTCCGGTCAATTTGGTCATGAAAGGTTCTGTTTACGAGACGCTGGTACGTGGCTCCTGCATATTTTCAGTCCAAAGGGCATCTTGTCGTAGCAATATGCCCATATCTCGGTGATGTAAGCTGTCTTTTCTGCATCTTCCTGTGCCATGAGGATTTGATGATATCCCTTATATGCGTCGAGGAAGCTGAGGACTCTATATCCGGCGATGCCTTCCACCATCTGATCTATGACTGGCAGAGGGTAGCAGTCCTTGGGGCAATGTTTGTTGAGGTCGGTGTAGTCTTGGCACATATGCCAAGAGTTGTCGGGTTTTCGTACCAAGACCGAGTTGGCTAACCAAGTAGGTCATAGAACTTCTCGGAGTATGTTGGCACGGACCAACTTCATTGTTTCCTCATTGATGGCATCATTACGTTCGCGAGCAAAGACTCTTATCTTCTGTTGCACTGGTTTGACATTTGGATCAACATTTAGCCTATGTTCCATTACTTCTCGGGGGACTCCTGTCATATCCGCTTGGGACCAGGCGAATATGTCATGGAACTCGCGTAGCAAGGCGCTGATCTCGGCTAGCAAGGGGTCTTGGAGAGAAACCCCAATTTGAACGGTCTTGGTGGGATCAGTCTCACTCAGGATTAATTCTCGCGTCTTGCTGCTGAACGAGGGAAGGCTAGAGATCTCGGGATTTTCTACCTTTGGTGGGTTGACCGTTTGTCGAATTGAGTAGCATTCTGACATGGCGGAGCCTGGGTTAAGGTGTGCGGTCTTCTTTTTGATTCTAACTGCAGTGAGCAAGCACTCTCGAGAGCTTCGCTTGCATCCTTTCACTACTCCCACTCCATATTCTGTTGAGAATTTCATTACCAAGTGATAGGGAGACCATATTGCGCGTGCTTGACACATCCAGGGTCGCCCTAGGATCACGTTGAACGGCGAGGGTGCATCTATTAGGGCGAAATCCATGGTTAAGGTGACTGTCCTAGGATGCGACCCTACCGAGATGGGTAGGCTAATTATTCCTGTGGGGATAATGGTGTGACATGAGAATCCCATCAGTGGCATTGTAGCTGGGCGGATACAAGGGTTTTTGATATTCATTTTCTTGAAGCAATCACTATATATGATGTCGACCGCGTTGCCGTTATCCACGTAAACCCTTCCGACTTTTACGTTTGCGATTATTGCTTCTATGACCATAGCGTCACTGTGGGGACAAATGTCTGGGACCACATTGCTATCTGTGAATATGATGGCCTCCATTCCTTTGAAACTTTTGTGGCTAGGCTCTTGTCGAGGAGTTTTGGTGACGGTTCGCAATGAGTTCTTCATGGCTGTAGTGGATAAGAATTCAAGGGGAGCTCCGTAAATAGCTCCTACCTAGTGAGTGAATAGTTTCGTTGGATCCGCCGGGGGGAGTTGTTACAGTGGCTGTGGTGCTGCTTCAGTAATGGGATAGTGTTGTTATTGGGCATTAGCTCTCGGTTGCCAATTATTTCCTTGTCCATCTCGCCGTGGTGGGCCTCTGAAGTTTCTTTTTGGGTGATCTCGTGACTGGGG